GTCTACAAGAAGGTTAGTGGGAGCATGATCGTATTCCTGGTATTATATGTAGATGACATATTACTCATTGGAAACGATGTCCCTACCTTGCAACAAGTGAAGACTTGGTTAGGGAAATGCTTTTCAATGAAGGACCTAGGTGAAGCAACCTATATATTAGGAATCAGGATCTATAGAGATAGGTCACAAAAACTGCTTGGCCTAAGTCAGAGTACATACATAGAAAAAGTGTTGAGACGCTTTAATATGCATGATTCCAAGAAAGGATTCATACCTATGCAACATGGCATGTGTCTGTCAAAAACACAATCCCCTTCAAGTAAGGAAGAAAGGGATCGCATGGATAAGATTCCATATGCATCTGCAATAGGATCTATCATGTATGCCATGCTATGTACTCGACCAGATGTCTCATATTCTTTTAGTGCAATGAGTAGGTACCAGTATAATCCCGGTGATGCTCATTGGGTAGCTGTCAAGAATATCCTTAAGTACTTGAGAAGAACTAAGGACTCATTCTTGATATATGGAGGTCAGGAAGAGCTTGCTGTAATTGGATACACCGATGCTAGCTTCCAGACAGATAAAGATGACTTTAGATCGCAATCTGGTTATGTGTTTTGTTTAAATGGTGGCGCTGTGAGCTGGAAAAGTTCAAAGCAAGATACAGTTCCTGATTCTACAACCGAGGCTGAGTATATTGCTGCCTCAACTGCAGCAAAAGAAGCTGTTTGGATCAAGAAGTTCATTAGTGAACTTGGCATAGTCCATAGCATTGTGGATCCCATTGATCTCTATTGTGATAACAATGGTGCTATCGCACAAGCTAAGGAGCCTAGATCTTACCAACGATCCAAACACATACTTAGGCGTTATCATCTCATTCGAGAGATAATCGATCGGGGAGATGTGAAAATATGCAGAGTACCTACACTTGACAATGTTGTTGACCCATTAACAAAGCCTCTTGCGCAGCTGAAGCATGATGGACATACTAGATCTATGGGTATTAGGGGTATGCCTGATTGGCTCTAGTGTTAGAGGGAGATTGTTGGTGTAAGCCCTAGAGGCCAATACTTTTGGTACTTGTATCGAATTATTTATTAATAATAAAAGACATTTCTTTATTATGTTTTCTTTCCAAAATAATAAAGTCCCTAGAATGGTTTATTTGTTTAATGAAATGTTAAGTGTGACTTAATCATGAGATCCCATTAAACATAAGACACTATTCTTAAAGTATCCGTAGTCAAGCTTTAATGTGAAGTGGGATAACATTAAAGCATTAAGATTATTATTAAGATAGATTGATGATCACATCTCATGGATCATAGATAAGGAGTTAACAAGTCTTGACATAGGTATGAATATTAGGAGTAATATTTATACTAGATTGACCTGCTATGAGAATACTACATAGAATGTTATGCAAAGTGTCATAAGTTATTCTCATGATGATAATGGTGTATACCACCCTTCGACCTGAAACCACTATGGACCCTAGATGTAGAGTCAAGTACTTTATTGCTGATCAAACGTCATTCGTAACTGGATGACTATAAAGACGGTTGATGGGTACTTCACAAAGCATGCTAAGGGACATGAGTGACCTAGATGGAATTTGCTCATCCTGCATAACAGGATAAATGTCTAAGGGCCCAATATTGAACTGGGCAAGGGTGACATAGTGTATGCCTTGTGTTCAATATAGACATGAGGGCAAAAGGGTAATTGTACAACACAAATATTATCACGGAAAAGGTTTGGTCAGATCACATGACATTTTCGTGACTTGGGTAACAATGATGTGTTGCTAGATACTGCTCACTGTTTATTATATTAAATGTGTGATTTAATATAATTGCCAACGTCGCGAAAACCTACAGGGTCACACACATAAGGATAGGTTGATGAGAGATAGAATAAATAAGGAACACTGTAAGGTACGGTGCACTTAAGTGTAATACGGAAAGTGGTAAGGTACCACGTGGATAAGTGATATATGGTACATCATAAGGTATGATGTCCATAAGCTTAATTGGGATTTTAGCTTATAGCCTTAATTGGGCTTTTAGCTTGTAGCCCACACGAGTGATTCTATAAATAGATCCCTTGTGATGAAGCAATTTCACTTGATGCAATTTTGTTTTTGATTCTCTCTCTCACTCAAGGTTTCGTTCGTGATCAGCTAGCACTGTGACCGGAAGCGATCTGTTCGTGTGGACTGAGTAGAGGCGTTGTTCTTCATCAACGCTCGTGATCACAACATCAAAGGTCTGAATCGCCACAAGAGATAAATATTTCTATCACTGACCATGCTCATTCGTAAGGATCGCTAAAGGAAATTTTTAAATTCCGCTGCGCTTTTGATCGCAATTTTCCTTCATATGCAACATGCGACATCATATGCAACAACATAATTATGCAACCACAAGGCATAAACCTTCAACATTCGTCAATACAGACCATCATCATCGTCATAATACAACATAGATTCCACATAAAATCCCATACTCTAAACTTAATTTATTATTATTACTAGCCTTCTTATGTCCACCTAAGCTTACTAGTCATTATGGATCGAGAGAATACACTCCACATGTGAAAAGGGAAGAAATCACGAGAACAGGAATTTTTACACGTTCATCTGCCCATACGCGTACTGTTGCCTACGTTACGCGTATTACCTTGCTGCCATCCCTGCCATACGGGTAATGTAGCCTGCATTATGAGTAATGCCTTCTCTCATGCCCTCCCATACACGTACTGCTGTATGCGTTACGCGTATTGCCTTGTTGTCTTCCCTGCCATACGCATAATGTTGTTTATGTTGCACGTATTGCCTTATGTCCTATTCTTCCTTACGCATAATGCTCCTGCCTTACGTGTAATGCTGCATGCATTACGCGTAATGTTGTTTGTCTTACGCGTAACGACAGTTTGCGACCAAGAAAACTCTGTTTTCACATCAGAACAATTTCCACTCATTTTGAGCACTTTCAACCTCAAAATTTAGATCCAAAAACAACATTCTTTCACATATTAACTTAGGGATTTCATTCTACTTCATTATTCTACAATTCTACACCAATTTCTACATCAATTCCTTTAATTTTCGTCACATTCCTAAATCTACAATTTCTCAGATTTGGGTTTTTATGAACAATACAACAACAATAAAAATCAGCAGCAACACACATCATATACATCAATTGAATCATCATTCCATGCAGGTTCACATAAACATATTAACAATCAACAAAAGAAAATCATATACATCAGATCTACATAAAAGCTAGAGAGGAAAAGGAACCCTCACTACCCTCTCATGTTATAATCACCATTTAGAGAACCCATTCTCCCCTCTTACCTTAATTTGCAACTTTGATCATTCAACAATGGTGAGATTCTCCTTGTCTCTCTTTTTCCCTAACTTCTCTTCTCTTCTTTTCTCTTCTCTTCTCTTATTTTCACGTGAAACAGTTTTTCCCAATTCTCCTTCCACTATTCTCTTTAATTATTCCTTATTATTTCCCAATAATAATAATAATAATAATAATAATAATAATAACAATAACAATAATAATAATAATAATAATAATAATAATAATAATCAACATAATATTAATAATAATATTATTAGTGATAACTATACCATATATCTAATAATATTTTTATTATTAATAATAGTAATATTTCTTCATTCACCAATATTATCATTATTATATCGTCATTTAAAACTTATTCCACTTATCGAATTATACTAAATTCTTACACCTCCTTAGTCAAACCACATAGTTCTACAATTCCAATAATCAAATGACTAAATATTTAAATGGGGCGTTACTTCAAGTATTGGAAGAGAATTCGAAATGTCTTTATTACTAGCCATCTTCGTAGAGGTTAATTCATTTGCCTTGAAAATACGATCTCTGAAGTGAAATTCTTGAAAACTTGATCAAGAACATTAATCAGAAGCTCTGATATCAATTTATTGGTGCGTGAGTCACTTTTAATAAGAAGAGAAAGAGAGAATAATAAAAGAAATAAAAATTATATTATTCACTTAAATTATATTATTTGTACTATTTATATATAACTTTAATACACAATATTAATATTAAATATAATCAAATTTAATTTAATATTTCAAAATAATGTTTATAGATTTAGACTTGCTTTTGAATATTGGACATCGTACGTAAACTATAGATTTTGAATTATTAATGATTTTGTTGTTACTCTATGCTCCTGTGTAAAACTCGCTTTGTACTTTTCTCAAATAAATATCTTGCTTTGTACTTTTTGTCGATAACTTGCCCTAATCCTTTCCCATAATCTTTGAAGTTATGGGTTACTCTAGTGAGAGTAGCCTTAGCTACCACAGAAAGCAAAAGGGACACTTGTTTGGCATTAAGTTAAAATATTCATAAAAAAAATTTTAAACTTGATTTAAGAACAATATTATCCAATTATAAATTATCTCATTTTACATTGAATTTTAACAGGACTACTATTTCTTTTTCAAAAATAACTATTTTCTGTACAAGGAATTGAGCTAAATGCTTATTATGTTTTTTTATATGAAATATCTAGGTCAAATTTCACGGAAATGAGAATAAGTTGTTGGTTAATCTTAATTCTGACAACTTGAATAGCTTTGTATTTTGCTAAGCAAATCAACATTAACTTGTACATACCTTTAGTTATTTCTAGCATAGAGTAACAATATTGTTGATTACCTTTAGTGTCATACACATTTTCACACTGATTAATAAAATGTGATAACCAATTATTTTTATTGGTTATTGATGTATGCTGAAAATTCTGAGTATGAATTAAAGGATACATAAAAAGATAAATATTAAATTGCATAGGAAATTAGAAGTACACTTATTTTGTGATAAATAATTTTTCTAAAAGTGATATTTATTTATTTTTGGTTATAAAAGTGACATTTATTTTGAAACAAAAGAACTAGTAAATAATGTACACTTATTCTAGACAGCAGGTTCAACTTCAAAGCATTCGGATTCTGTAACACGTTTCTTGTATTTGCGAATAAAATCATCAGCTCTCATGTTAATATTGGGCTCAGCAACACCCCAATTACCTTTGTCTTCATCGCTAGGCCATGTCCTGCGCCCTGCATCATAATCGTAGTAACCAGCTCTATGCTTATTCTTAGACTTGAAGCAGTCAAAAATTGAAACAAAACATGATGAAGACTTATTCTGCCTATTACCACCTCCCATGTTGATTATAATGTAGCTGATTTTTTTGCTTTAAGTGATAGTCTTTGTTTTCTAAGGACAATGTAATGTCTCGAATTTATATATAATGATAATAATAGTCGAGGAGGCTTCAACTTGAATATATAAAAATAAAGAATATGATAAATGAGTTGTAAAGAGTAACGTAAATGGTTCAAATCAAGGAGATTTGGCAGGGTGGAAAGTCACTTTTATAAATGAAGGATTTCTACACCCATGATTGCTGGTCCTGCTTTTGTACTTTTCTTCTCTTCCAATATTCATGTAAGTTATTATTATTTGACACTTTTCCACATCTAATTCAACCACTAAAACTATGTGCACTAGTTTAGAATTAGATTATGATTATAAATTGTGATTGCAATCGAGGATGCGGTTGCAATTGCAATTACTACCGTTGTTGTGATGCGTATTGTGCAAGTGTTTCAGAGTAAATTGTTATTGGAAGATGTTTGTATTATATACTTGAGACAATTTAAATTAACATTTCTCAATATATCATAGGAAGATTGAAGATTTTTTTTTCAAATAATTTTTTTTTTTAAATTTCTCAAATAATCACTTTTTCAAAATATTATTAAAATGATCACTTTTTAAATAAAAAAATTTCGCCACACAGAGGAGTAGCCACTCTGTGTGGCGCATGCATGCATTTTTAAGAGGAGACGCCACACTGCATGGCTTGTCCTCCTATGTAAAGCCATGCAGTGTGGCGCATGCATGCGTTTTTAGAGAGAATGCGTCACCCTCTTTGGCTTGACAATGTTATTGCATTTTCTATAAATTCAATCACCTATCCTCTTCATTTTTCCACACCATTTGTTACATAACTCTTAGAAAATGTCTTCAACTCCCTTGTCAAAGTTTTCACTGATCAAAAGAGATGCACATGTTATTTTTTCGGCGACAAAGCCTCCGGTGAAGATCAAACTCTGGAACAAGCAGACGTTCGAGCATTTTCAGAGGCACTTGATTCGCTGGTTGGAAGGAGACATTTCTGAAGGTGAACAAATCAGAAAAATAGAAAGGCACATCACAGTGAGGAACGAAAATGGAGTAAGCTGATCATGGAAAAAGGTGAGATGCGACACTGATGTCATGATGATGATGCTTGGACCAGACGATATTGTGTTGATGGTTTTTATCTCTTAGATATTATGATTTATTTAGTTGTTTTGTCTGTTTATCATGTTGTTGTATTGTTGTCCTGAGTATGTGGTGTTATAATTTTTTGTGTTATTATGTGAAAGTTGTTGTAATCGAATGATAAATTGAACACGAAATGATAACTCGAATTTAAATTGAAATGTAATGCGTACAACAAATTAAACACTCCAAAAAGTTTGCTATAAAAAAGTTAGGTTGCAGAGTTAGACCCAATATTCGGAAAAAATTTCCTATTGTGTCCGGGAAGACGACATGTACTGCATAATCTTATCATTTTGTTAGCCGTATCCATTTTAGTTCTAATACGAGTGCTTTTTGGGCGCTCCTTTTTCTTTCGTCGCATTTGTTCATTGTGCCAAAAAATGTCCCCTTGATAAGCAGGCCAATAATCGTCCTTTGCCAACACGGAGAAGGTATTGATGTACACACTTAAAATGCTCTTTACGGTGTACATAGGGGATATATGTTGTATTGAGTCCAAGCGAACATGCCGCTATGACATGAGAGCAAGGCATGCAAAATGCTTGAAACTTTCTGCAATCACACCAACCTCTATCTAGTTCTATCCAATAATATCCCCTCGGCCTCCCCTCATTATAATTCATTGTCTCTTGTACACTAAACCAACCTTTAATACGGTCAAACACGGTGACACTATGGGTGTTTACTTTCACAACCTCCTCGTTAAATGTTTTCATTGTGCATTCACTGAACAACTTCCCTGATTGTAACATTGCACTACAATTTAAACTTCTTGTGTCAAACAATGACCCCATCCTAAAATATGTTGCTCTAACCAAAGCAGTAATTGGTAGGTCTCAGATGCCTTTGAATACAAAGTTCAATGATTCCATCAAATTTGTTGTCATGTGGCCCCATCGTTGACCATTGTCAAATGCCCTAGTCCACTTCTCCACTGGAATGTTATCGATCCACCTTGATGCTTATAAGTTTGTCAACCGGATTTCTTCACGATAGTGTCGGAATGACGATTCTATTAAGGCATACCCTGCATTAATAACTTTCTTTCGAAGTGTCTTGTCTTTGATATAGAGCTTGAAGTTTTATGAGATATGTCTAATGCAATAGACATGTGTCGAAGGGGGATCCTTCGAACCGTTATCAGGGTTATTGTATGCACTCACAATCGATGTCTGTCTGTCTGAAATCAAACAAAGGCTGGGTTGAGGAGCAACGTGTAATCAGAGATTCTTCAGAAAGAAATTCCATTGACCACCTGTCTCACCTTCAACTACAGCAAAGACAATCGGAAAAACATTATTGTTCCCATCTTGTGCCACTTCCATGAGTAATATTCCTTTATACTTCCCGTATAACAAAGTTCCATCAATCTGTATAATAGGTTTGCAAAATGCAAAACCCTTGATACATGGTTCAAACGCCCAGAACAATCGATGAAATATTCCATTTCCACTAACACGAGCTCTATCTGGAGTAAATGTCGGGAGTGTCTCCAAAATTATAATAGTTCCCGGAGCATAATGTTTGAGTTCCACCAAAAATCTTGGAAGTTATTTGTACGATTCCTCCCAATTACCGTACACAAGTTCAACTGCCTTAGTCATCCCGATCTATGCCTTCTTTTAAGAGGGAGTATAATTGAATCTTGTAGTGATATGAGAAATAATTGTACTTACCCTTAATGATGGATCCTTGCTAATAAGAGACAAGATTTCTTGACATATTAGTAGAGAAATAAATTTCCAATGATCATGTGTCAGAACAGTGGTGATGCATGTGTGGAGTGGATCAATGGAACCTATTTCCCATGAATCACTTCTCTTCCTGTAAGATGCAGTTAACCGAAAAGAGAAAATTGGTTTTTGACGACATAAAATAACATACCTCCCTGAATCATTTTTATCTACCGTGAAGTCAGCTAAAATTTCCATGTGGTATTTTTTGATAGCTCTAAGACACTCTTCTTTTGTTCGAAATTTGTTTCCAACTTTCAAGGCCCCTTCAGTCTGCATATAAGGATTGTGAAAGATATCTGAGGCTGGTTCATCTTCCCCCAAGTTCAAGTTTGTCATGTGAAACGGAGGGTCATACACATGACTTACAGGTACAAGTTCATGCTCTTGATATGCAGCGTCATCATTGACCATAAAATAAACCATTGCCTCATCATCTTCTTCTTCTTGGTCAATAACATCGACTTTGGGATGGTTTTCCTCGTAAGATTCATCCTCTTCTTCAAAGTCTTGAGAAGGATCTACCACCTGAGATTGATCTGGTTGCTGTAATAAAACATACAACTAAATCTCATCGAACCCGGATTATTCATGAGTTTGAAATATGTTTCGAACATCATCATCGTCATGCACCTTAAGTTAATAAAATCTTACTTGGTTGTTGTCAAATAAAAATGGGGACTTGAAAAGAATTTGGTAAACTGGACCACACTACAATTTGGCTTCTAGTCTATCATTGAAGCATGCAAAACTTGATTTCTTATTTATCAGAAAGCGGATAAAATCGGTATTATGGAAATTAAGACCTAAGCTATCACAGTTGAACGTCTCACCATTAATATGGGCAACAATAGTGTAATTTTGTGAATGATCCATGTTGTTGAGGTATGTTTTTTGTGTGTTATGGATGTATACTAGTAATGCACCCTACACAGACGATTAAATAGACTGATGAAAATATAGGATGTACTCTATATTCTGCATGCATGCACCACCCAGTGTGGCTTATCCTCATATTTTTACATACATGCGCCACCTAGGGTGGATAATCCTTCTATTTTTGCACGCATGCGCCACCCAGGGTGGCTTGTCAATGTACAACAAAATTGCATGCATGCCATCTGATCCTTGCCACGCTGCAGGTTTGCATGCATGCAAATAGAAAAAATCCATGTTGAATGGCACCTATGTGTATCATAGAGAGCATGTGTCACCTAGTGTGGCGCCTATGTGTATTAAGGAAGAGCATGCGCCACCTAGTATGGCACTTATGTGTGTCTCTTGCATGCAAAGTGTTCTTCAAGATTTTCCTATAAATACATGTAACATTCACCATATATGTTCATCACAATCATAACTCACGCAGTATTTATTTCTTGAAGTATCAATAACAACATAAGAGTAATCAAGAAAAAATGTCTCTCTTGACCATGGGTGATCAACATAGAGGAACTCCGAACAACATTGAAACCTTTGTAAGTGTATTTTCCTCAATATATATTTTTTACCGACAAATTTGTTTCCCTTCATTCTTATGATTGTTATACGTAAATCTTGTATTTTTTATACATAATTCATGTTTTTAATAGGATGTTAAAAGATTTCATTGTCGTGTCCATGAGTATGTCCCTTACGAAGTTCAAATTGAACTGTACTTACGACATGCCGATTTTGGTCCGTTACTCAACATAGTCAATTACCATGTTGACTATAAAATTATTCTCGTATTAGTGGAGAGATGAAGACCCGAAACTCACACCTTTCATCTTTCATGTGGTGAATGTACAGTCACACTAGAGGATGTGTACATGTTATTCGGTCTACCGGTCGATGGTAAGGCTGTCAATGGCCGAGTCAACCAAGACAATGCCATATGCAAGTAACTTTTGGGAGTCTCTTTATTTGAATAAGGGTCTAGAGGCCAAGGTATTAATCTCTGTCTTCTTAGAGAATATCATAGTAGTCTCGTAATAACCAAAAACTCTACCGAGCAAGAAAAAACATGTGAAAGCTCGGTGTTACATAATGATTTTATTTGGCCATTTTTTATTTCCTGAAACAATGGATAATACTTTTAATATCATGTATTTACCCTTATTA